AAGGAAGGAAGGAAGGAAGGAAGGAAGGAAGGAAGGAAGGAAGGAAGGAAGGAAGGAAGGAAGGAAGGAAGGAAGGAAGGAAGGAAGGAAGGAAGGAAGATTTTGCTATGAAGAGCAATGAGTAAAATATTTTACACTCTATTTTTATCAGTACATAAAGACGAAAAATAAAAATAAAAATAAAATAAAAAATGCCTTCCAACAGTGCAATGGTTGAATGCATTTATGTAATATAAACAACATTATTCTTTGCTTTTTCTACACAGTCCTCTCTGGTCATGCTTTACATCCAGAATGTCCCAATGGAAGAAAGCAAACGACACCGGTCACTTCAGAGACAACTGAAGTAATAAAACACAACTTAACTCTGAACCACTTGTCATGACTGTCAGAGTTATCACGTTAATTGTTAAATAGGATTTTCTACAAATATACAACATATAAAAACTGTTAAATATATAACTTTAGGCTTTTCAAAATACATTTAATGATCTCTTTCAAACAAGTGTTACTTTTGTTTTCTCTTTAATTTGCTTTCTGGTGCTAAATGGTGTATCAGATGAGACATAGGCCACAGATGACCAAACATGCTCTTTGCAAATACTGTATTATCCAACTTTAACTATCAAAAATGGAACTGTAGAAGAGGCATGTTTAACTGGTTAAAACTGAAAATGATTTTAGTACGAGAAAGTCAATCTAAGTACAGAGGAATAAAGGTGCCGTGTAGACAGTTTGTGTTCATTTTTTTCCAAGTTTTTCAAACATGTCATTTTCTCTCAGTGCTCCATTATGTTCTCTTGAACATGGCATTTCAAGAGCAGGTCTCTGAGTTATTTTTTACTTCAGCTTTYCATAAAGACTTCTGCTGGACAACACTTCAGCTTTGTGAAAGCTGGGATCATGTCTTTGTGGAGACCTCCTTCAATTTAATGACATAACTCTTTTAAGAGTAAGATTGTGTCCACTTTAAAATAGATTTTGCTCTTTGGTCTATTGTAAATACTGAAAGTATAAGAAAATAAAAGCGATTCAGACAGTTTAGGGCACAAGAAGAGTTTCTCTTTTGCACCTCAGTGTCCTCCCATAGGCAAAACAGTCTTCTCTAAGGCTGATTGGGATGATACTCTTCATCGTAGCAGACTCTTCGCTTTGAAACATGAAGGTAACAGCAAGTCCAGCAGTGGTGTATAACGCAGATGAAACGTTAACCATGAACTTTTTTGTATTGCTAATGCCCAAGCATATCTCTTTTTCTATATTCCTTAGTCCAGTGATCCTTAGAATGGCAGAACAAACTTTAGCTCATAATGCAGAGGAATTATGCTGTCATTCATGAGATACAGAGAAACAGACAGTTGAGTTGATGACATATAACGGATGATGATCAACAGCAGTGAAACTTGACTAAGTTAAGTAGCTCACAGAGAGCCTAAACCACTCCTACGAGGATTCTGTGTTGCTGCATTTGTCAGGAGACCTGTAAATCAATAAGAACAAAYGAGTCAGMGTCTTAATTTAAAATTCTGCTTATYTTTGCTGTCCATTATTATAAAATACACTCTACTGAGATTTTTCAATAAGACAGTTAATGAATTAGAAGATATTTATTTTTCACAGCATTTTCCCTGAGAAAAAATACATATAAACAAACATATATCTTATAATAAAAAGCTTTAGTAATTTTTTCTAATAAATTCATGAATATAAATAGTAATTTATAAAAGCTCAATGCCATCTACTTTCTACTAAGTTTCATGCACATTCTTTTTCATAAAAATCACAGAATATTCTTTAACACACATTAAAGTTACAAGTAACAATGTCTAATACACATGGTGATTAAGATTACTTTTACTTTTTATGTGTAGGATGTAATGAAAAATGGACATGAAAGCCATGACCATATATTAAAAATGTGAAGATGTTTGTACTGGAGGCTTTTCCGCAGTTAAGTTTCCAGAGCACGAGAGTGTGCCTAATTTAATCAATACTGCCCTCTAGTGATGCTATTACAAGTGCAAATTAATGTAAATAATGGCTATTAATAGTCAATTTAATCAGAAAATTGTTTTAGTTACGCCCCAGGGGGGAAAAAAAAAAACCAAAAAAAAACCCCAAAAAACAACCCCAAACAAACAAACAAACAAAAAAAACACCAAAAAAGCACAGGAGAATAAAAAATGGGCAAAGTACTGCCCAGTGAACATGTTGCAAAGAAAACTGAAAGGAAGCATAATTTTGAAAGAGAAACAGAACGAAAGTTCACACTATTAAAGAAAGCAAGAATAGTGGAAGACAGCACAAACACAAATGAGAAAATAATGACTGATTTATACAACAAGGAGCCAGCTACTCATGCTCACCCAAAAGATGAGTTTAGAAATGGTTTAAAAATTACACAGCTGCTGTATAAMGCAAAACGATATGGGGTGTATTAAGCAAGCATGATTGTTACAAAATGATGTTTGAAATTTGAAACACTGTCTTGTGCTTTGGCATTGTTCTGTCGCAAAGTTGTCAGAACTGTAATTATTGATGGRAATATCATGCAAAACTACAGAAAACACTGAACAGTGAATGTAAAAGAGCAAAACAAATAAGAAAATCCAATTAAATTTGTTTAAGCCRTATATTAAATATTGTGTTTTTAACCTAATCTTCAGAGCAGTACATGAAAGAAAAATCTGCCTCCAAATCAATTTAGTGACAGCTTGAAACATATGGATCTCTATTTATATGCATGTAGAAAGAAAGAAAGTGAGAGAGAGAGAGAGAGGCAGATAGACAGATGAATACTTTCCTTACAAGGCATAAAGTGTATGTCATAGATTTCTGCTTTTGTCCTCTCACCTTTTCCAGGAATAAACACCCCAGAAATCTTGCAAACAGCCTTTCCTTTTCGGACTAGTGATCAGATCTCCAAACCACATGGCCTCAGACAGGCTGAAGGCAAAAAACCTGGTTGATTATTGTGATATATTCCCCTTCTTAAAYATACTTTCAGCAAGAGAAATTAAAGTTTTGCTTCTATTAATTGTCTTCTTTCCCCTTTAAACTCTTTCTTGGGCTTTCTGCTATGCCCCCTATTTTCCTTCCCATTAGAAAAGAAGACAACTTTTAGAGTAATAATACTTTTTAGGCTGCAAGACACAAAGCAAACGATTTATGGCTTGTTAGGTCTGAAAGTAAACTACTATGTGTTAAGAATTAGCTTGAYATAGCTCTGTCTTTCCTTTTATTATGCTGTAACGGCCCATAGCTAAAAGCAACAGTGTAAACTGCTGATGGACTGTATGCTCAGGATTTTCATAGTGCACTTYTCTATTGGTCCCAGGATGAAGAGAGAATTCAAGTACAACATACATTCACCGATTCCCATTCCTTTGCCATTTTATGGGATAAAAGCTKCTTTCCTTCCTTGCTATCCCTGTCTCCACTTTGAACACCCCTGCTGCATGARTATGGTATTAACGCTTTAAAGGAAGACGAGAAGAGGGGAGAAAATTATGCATTTAAAAAATGCTGAGGAAGGGCATAGAGCAGGCTTGAAATAAAGTCATGACAGGAAGAGGAACAGATTAGAGAACAGGAGGTGAATTTACAACTTTGGACAATGACAGGAGAAAATGAAATGAAAGGGGGGAAATGCATAGGTTAGCCAGGGAAGTTTAATCACTTATTGATGAAGGCATGAAAAGGAAGTAYGATGATAGGTAACAACAGATAAAAAGGAGAGAGAGCAGAGAGCATGATGAGTCCAGAGAAGAGGAAGAGAATGCACACCTACCCTCCCACCTCCTGTTTTTTTCCCTTTCGTTCCTCATTACAGGTAAATTAATCACTCCCCAGAAAAACAGACAGATCAAATAAGAGAAAAGAGGGACTCCTAAAAAAAATAAAAAGGTCTTATTTATTGTTTATATTAATAGTTCAAACCATAAAATAGAATCATAGAATCGGTTAGGTTGCAAATGACTCATAAGACCATCAAGTCCAGCCCAGAACTGGCAAGTACATTGCTAAACCATGTCCATGAGGAACACATATACACATCTTTTAAATACTTCCAGGGATGATGACTCAGTTGCTTCCCTGGGCAGMCTCTTCCAAGGTTTGACAACCATTTTAGGGAAGAAATTTTGATTAATATCCAATATAAAACTCCCCAGTGCAACTTGAGGCTGATTTTACTTATTCAGTCACTTGTTACTTGGGAAAGTAGACTGACCCCCTCCTGACTACAACCTCCTGTCAAAGTGATAAGGTCTCTCCYAAGCTTCCTTTTCTCTAGGCTAAACAATCTCAGGTCCCTCAGCCATTCCTCAAAAATCTTGCTCTCCTTCACCAGTTTCATTGCCCTTCTTTGGACATGCTCCAGTTCCTCAATGTCCTTCTTGTTGTGAGGGGCCAGAACTGGACACAGGATTTGAGGTTTGGCTTCACCAGTGCCGAGTGCAGGGGGACAGTCACTGCCCTGGTCCTGCTGGCCACACTGTTGSTGGTACAAGACAGGATGACGTTGGCTTTTCTGGCCATCTGAGCTCACACTGGCTCATGTTCAGCTGCYGTTGACCAGCACTCTCAGGTCCTTTTCTGCTGGGTCATTTTCCATCAACTCTTCCCCAGCCCTGTAGCATTCATGASATGGGTTGTTGTGACTCAAGTGCACTTCACCTTGTAGAACCTCCTGTACTTGTCCTCAGTCCCCTGGTCCAGCCTGTCCAGAGCCCTCTGCAGAGCCTTTCTACCCTCCAGCAGAATATGTCCAGCAGATAACACTCCCACCCAGTTTGGTGTCATCTGTGARCTGAGGGTGCACTCAACCCCCTTGGGCAGATCATTGATTAAGATATGAAGCAGAACTGGCCCCAATACTGAGCCCTGTAGCAGTCAGGAGCCCCACTGTTGACTGTCTGCCCCCAAGGTTTAATTCCATTCACCACCACTCTCTGGGCTCAGCCATCCAGCATTTTCTTTATCCAGTGAAGGGCGTCCCTATCAAAGCACCCAATTTCTCCAGTAGAATGCTGGGGGAAGCAGTGTTACAGCTTTGCTCAGTCCATGCAGACGACATGCAGAGCCTTTCCCTCATCCACTGAGAAGGTTGCCTTGGCGTTAGATGAGGTTGGTCAAGGAGGTCAATGCCTTTCACAAMCTCTGCTGGCTGGGCCTGATCCCCTGRTTGCTCTGCATGTGCCATGGGAGGACAATTAAGATAATCTTCTCCATGACCTTCCCTGGAACCAAAGTCARACCAAAAGGTCTGTAGTCTGCTCTCTGGAAGCCCAAGGTGGCCATTCTKCTGATCTCCCTCTTTACTTCTCTGAGAACTGAAAATGTGAATCAAAATGCATAAGAAATATCACTTCCCTGACAGGCAGGTTAAAAGTAAAATGGTGCTCTTGATGAATGTTTGGCAGCAATTTTTAGAATATTAATTAGGTCATTAGAATTGCAATAATAACTGTAAATTAAATAATTACTTACATAAAACTGCTTCAAAGCTTGGGAAATTTGTTTTTGCATTTGTTTTCCCCTTCACTTAGGAAATTTGCAGCAGAATGAAATTATAGAGGGCCTAGGGTGACATAGAACAACATGTCCTTCTCCTTTCATTCGCAGAACTCATGACAATTCTAGGTACCAATGCATATGTCACTGACTACAATGAAGTCAGAACTTCTTCCCAGTGCTTCAGACAGCAGGTTTTGCTTCCTAGATATTCCAAATACTTGGGCTGTAAGTCTGAGTTTCTCCAGTTTTGAGGTACTGAGCGGGCATCTAGTACCAGACATTAAAATACTATTATATGTTTTCTGATTGCTTACATGGTAGAAGCCCAAGCCCCTCTGTGCTCCACAGGAATCTGCTCAATAATCCAAAGCATAAGAAACAATACAATTCACGTGACCATATATATCTTAATATTGCACTTGGACAGCTGGAATATGTCCTGAGAGTGTTCAGCTTATTAGAGCAATTATAACATAGTCCACTTAATTTTTCTTACTCTGGAGGGAGTAGAATAAGGGTCAGTCTATCTCCAGCTGTGCCCTAACAGCACATAAAATATTTCATTGGCTCATTTTTATGGTCAAGAAGAAATGAAAAAGGTTATGCAAGWCACCTTGAGAAGATAAAAATACATGATGCTGTGTTGACTTACACAGGCTTTCCACCAAAAGAAACCACGCAAAACCCTCTCTTGCTTTGAGTGTAGTATCTAGGATTTAACTGAGTGACAAAATTGTTTGAATTTCTCATCACAAACCAGAAGGTTGAGCCAGGCTTACTGCAAGTGGCAAATATTTTCAGTGTCAGGATTGAGTTTCAAGTACGTCTGTCCTGACCTTTTGCTTTATATGGAATCGACATAAATACCAACAATTCCTGTCAAGCCTGATAAAACTTTAACAGTTTCATCTGTTTTTCACTCTGTGTTTTCAGAATMAAAAGAAAAGTCAAATTGCACCAAAGTTGTTATTTTTGCTACAGTAGCCAAGTGCTCTTACACGACTACCTGCTGTAGTCACACTGGCACTCTGATGACAACTCTGAGCTACCTATCATGTTTCCAGAACTGATATATGGAGATTTTCTGGGTACCAGCAAAGTAATTGGTCATTTAAAGATGGGTCAGTGTTGCCTAACAGCTGAACTACTCGTCTAAATTGTGTGTTTTACACTTTCAACTACAGTTTTATGCCTCTGCGAGTCTTAGCAATCTGTACAGCATCTGTAAGTGAAAATGGTTCTTTTTTGTTTGGGTTCTTCTTGCACAAAGGTAACTCAAAGAGATGGATGCWGGTTGGACCAGTCTCTGATTCACAAATCTACCCATAATAGAAATAGTTCCAAACCTTTTACCAATTGACTGCAAGTCAGATAAACAGCATGTCTTTCCCCTCTGCTTCTGTGGCTCTCAGTTCTAGGTCCCTAAACAACTCAGCATGTATGATGCAGAGAGAAAGATGTAAAGACATTAAAATGCCCAAGGAAAACCTTACACTGCCTTGCAAGATACCTCCTGCTTTATGGGAATAAAAATGCAAATTTCTGGTGATGATCCAAAGAGTAGCAATGACCTGTTGCATTCATGAGAACTCCCATAGTCCCTCCTGAAAATTTATTATGTTTCCCTCCCTTCTTCTCCCTTTCTCCATGCTGTTCATATATGCAAACTGAATTGCTTAGTCTTCAGGAAGAAAAAAAAAAAAAACAAAACAAAAAAACAAGTTAATCTGACTCCAAAGCATCTGCTACCCTACTAAATGCTRTATTTTGTCTCACTGAGCCAGCCACAGGAAGGACAATTTCAGAGTTCAAACTAGTACCCACAGAACTACGAGTTATAAGATTGAACAAATGTTAATGTCTGTGCTTCTGGGTGAATATTTGCAAAAAAAAAAGTCTAACRTATTAAGTAATGTACATGCAGGTATATTTTCCTGTGCTGCACTCCAACAAAGTAGCATTCCTAAGTTACAGATAGCGGAATCCCATTATCAGCCACCTTTAAAAAGAAAATGCCTTTTCTTTTAACACCCATTATTTGTATCTTTTCACTTCCACTATTCAAACCAGACACAGAAAGAAGTGTTTATTCCAAATCTGAGACTCTTTGAAAAGATTTTTTTTCCTGATACAAATTATTTTAATATCAATCTGTCTTGAAAAAAATCCAAAAAGGCTCATTTCCCCTTAAATAACACTTCTAGTCTTATTTTCTCAATTCCCCTGACCATCTGCCAGGACTATCATCCTGATCATTAATTTCCTTTTGTGTTAACATCCTTTTTGTCTCATATTACCTTTTTTCAATGTACAAGGTCTTGGAATACACTGGGTCACATCATACAYTCCTTTCTTCTTCTGAATTGCCTATTGCTTCATAAGCAATAGCAGTGAAGGAAGTGGGACAGTTGTTATAATTAGATAATTCT